AATGTGGCATTTCCACAGGGAAAGTATCTATACTTTTTATAAGATCATTGAAGGGTTGCAAGATCCCCATCTTCCCTAATAAAGAGCCACTCACTGTCCTAGGCTCCCAGGCCCTAAGCTCCTTCCCTTTGTCAATAATATTCACCTGCACTTGACTTTCATCATGAACTGTCCTGTCATTTACCCCACACTTACCCTATATCTGAGATTGTTTTCTCTTGTTTCTCTGACCAATCCCAAAGATTGGTTTCCAATCTTTGGACCAAATGCCTTTGTCAGCCCAGGCTAATTCTGCTTTATCAGCTGTGGAAAGCTTCTGGGCCTCTCTTCTTTCTCTTTTTCTTCCAGTCTTTCATCCTCCTGACCTGGCTTTCTATTGTATTCAGCCTAATTCCCAAGGTAGATTACTTAGCTGCCATATCACCAGCATCTCCAGTTTCCCAGGTTTTTGTCTGTTTTGTATACCTACAGATGCACAGAGGAAGGCAGGGTGGGGCTCCCTCACTCTCAAAAATTTGTAGTGTGAAATCTTACCTGAGGACCTGGGGCATCTCAGTAATTGTGTTGTTTGATCTTGGTCATCTCACTTTCTTATTTATCTTGGTAAAATTCTCCAAAATTTAGCCATTTATCTTCAATTACCCCTATAATGATCCTTCAGCCAATCTCTTTCTCAAGGAATGGTCTTGTCTCTTTAAAGAAAATTTGAAGGCTGGCTGAGCCCAATGACACAGTCTGTGGAAACAAACTGAACTGCAATGCTGGTGGAAACCACATGAGTGACTGTGGTTCAGATCCTCAGGAAGACCTAAAAATATGTTGGATGCATGCATACAGGCCCATAAATTTTGAGAGCTGAAGGACTTGGGAAAGGGAATCACTATCTGCTGAGATTCTGTGAAGGGTTTCTCTTTCTCACACATATAAGCAATCAACAATATCTACCCTGTATGAAATAAAAAAGAAAAAGAAGAAAGAAAATGGAAGACCTTCAGCGTTAAAACTCAACTTCCTACAGGCTAGTCCAATTGCAGCCCTCCTTTGACAGGTGAGAAATAAGGGTAAGAGAAGGAAAGTACCTCCCTGAATGTCCACAGTAAGCTAATGGCTATCCTGGGGATGTTTCCACTCATTTATTCTGCCTGGAAGTCTTTTGTTCTCACCATTCAGTATTATTTTTGTTATTGTCATTATTATGATGATGCAGTATTCTTTTTTATTCATTAAACCAGCAAATACTTATTGAATAACAACTCTGAACCATTCCTTACTTTGCAGACAGTATGTCACACTGGACAGTGCAAATATGTCTACAGGTACTGGGGTAAGTGTACAAATGTGCAAATCCACAAGTTTATGTTTGCAAGCATTAATTGGAGTACTTAATTATAAAAAGTAGCATGGGGCCAGCCTGTGACATAGTGGTTAAAGTGGCTGGATCCTACATGATTGATCATGCGGTTTGAGTCCTGGACCTGGCGACTTGACCAAAAACACACCATGTACCTGGGTGTGCGTGCCCAAAATCCTGAAAAGAGGGAAATATGGAGGAAAAGGAACTGCAGAGTTATCCATGTGCCTACACATGCTCTATGATCCATGAGCCTACACATGCTTTAACATGCTAACATGCACATGAATACACAGGTGCATGTGTCTGCAGAGCATGAGCTCCTTCAGATGTGGGTTCACACACAGGTATGTGTGTACATGCAGCTGCTGGTTGCTTTTGTCTGATTTTATCTGCCACCTGGTCTAGAAATACTTCCCACTGATGACCAGTGCACACCTCCTGTGAGTGCAAATGCACAGTGAACTGTGCTTAACAGGCCCATTAATTTATCAGACACTCACTTAAGACAGTTACAGCACATTAGAGCAAATGGTTTCTGGGGGCTCAGGAAAGGCTGTATTTATTTTCTGAGAATTACCATTAACCCAGGAAGGGAGGTGCTGGGAAGCCACATTAGTGGGGCTTTGGTCAGTTTCCCTGCCCTGTGTAGTTGCAAATTAGAATAGGCTTTATTGATGGGCCAGTTATCCTTTAACAGGGTCCCAATTTGGCTCCTGGGATAATGAGATGGGTCTTTAGGGACCATCAGTCTCTCTCCTGCTGCCAAAGGCGGCTCTAAGAAGCCTGGCTTTTTAACTGGCCAGTGATGAAGTGGAGATGAGCTTGAGTCTAGCACAACTCATTTATTTCCCCAGGAGCTGAAACGCTTTGCAGAACCTCCTTTGTCCTCTTCTGAGACCCCTTGTCACTGCTGTACTTGGAAGTCAAGCAAGGCTCTGCTTTTGGCATTCATGAGGTTTGTGTATTAACTCTGCTGGGCAACTTCAGGAAAGTAAACTAACCTTTCTGAGTTACAGTTTTCTCTCTAGTAAAATAGAAACAGGTAGTTGATATAGATTTGGCATGAATCAAGGACCTACTCTTTGTTTAGCACTGTGCTAGGAGGGAGAAAAATCAAGCAAAGACTGTTCTCATGAACACCGATAGAAAACTCAATAAATGACCCCAATGAGTATCTGATTCAGGCTGGCATGGGTGCTGGGAAGGCAAGAAGCAGGACATAGGACAAAGGGCAGGTCTCGTCTAGGGCTAGAGAGAGTAACAGTGAGTTGAGACCTACAGAATGAGCCATGCCAGTCCATTGAAGGAGTATGGGGTTTGGGCGAAAAGAGTGTACCAGGCAGAGGGAACAGCTTGTGTCAAATCCTGGTGACTGGAAAGAACACAGTGTGTTGGAGAAACTGAAAGAGAGCCAGAAGGACTGGCACACAGAGAAGGTGGAAATGCAGAGGCAGGTGGAAATTAGATCCTCTAGGAATTTGCACCAGGACACCTTGTTAAAGATGTGGTCTTTGTCGTAGGGAAAATAGAAAGCTGTCAAGGGTTGTAAGCAGAGCAAAGACACGATCATATTTGCATTTTGAAAAGATCACTCTGGCTGCAGTACGAGTTCTGAATTGGAAGGGGACCAGAAAGGATGTTGAGAGGCTGGCTAGAAGGCAATGTGTATAGAAATGATGGCAGCTTGTCCTAGGTGGAGGCAGAGGGCATCGTGAGAAGTGTTATTCCATGAAACATTGAACAGCATTTGGGTAGTGAGGAGAAGCATCTGTCAATGATGACTCTTGTATTTCCTGTTCATACTTCACAAGGCCACTTCAGGATTAAATGAACTCATGTGCGACAAGTATTTGGTGCATCGTAGGTAACCAATAAATGCCAGTTCTTGTCCTGTTTCCTTGAGCTCTTTGCCATTTGATTCCCATGGGCTCTCAGCAGCCATGTAGAGCTGGAACTCTAATCCCTTTTACCTTCTCTTAGAATGTTCTAACCTTATCATTTTTTAATTCAGCACTCTAGTGCCAACAGCAGCCTTGACTTGGCAGAGCTGCCAGGGAGAAGCCAGGCACAACTTGCAACTGGAAGAGTTGTTCTGGGTTGTTTCTCGGTGGACTGTTTTTCCTCCTGACATGCCTGCCTAGGAGAGCTACTGCTTCATCACGTAGATAGTCACACCCCCACCCCCCCACCCCCCACTCTGGCCCTTCCAGGAAGAAGAGAATTCTTGGGAGGTAGGTGAGGGAAGGAAAGGGGAAATAGAATAACAGCATGAAAAAAATAATGGAACTTGTGAGCAGAGATGGGTCACCATTCATGATTCACCCAAGTCTCTCTAGCCCAGTTTTCTCATTTGTAAAAAGGGGTTAATGATAGTTCCTGCATTGGAGTCTGTTTATGGAGTAAATGAGATTCTGTGATTAAAAAAAAAAGATTAATGGTCTATAAAGGGACAAGGAAATAAAGAATTAGTAGGTAGTCTGGTAGGGTGGATTTAAATTCAGTTGAACTGGGGCTCAAATCCAAATTCTATCACTTCTGACCTGTGTAATGGAGGGGGCGGTCACTAACTTCTCTGTACCTTAATGTCCTCACCTAAACAGAAATCATAATATGTAATTCAGAGAATTTTTGTCAGCATTGAAAGGAAAATACGGTTCAGGTCCCTACCCTCATGTGGCTTCTATTTTGAAAGAGAAATAAATAGATAAATAAACAAGCAAATGTAAAATTCTAAGATCATTTTGCTAAGTGATTAATGCTTTAAAGGAACTGCAACAATATAAGGTAATAGCAGGACTTCTTTGAATGGGATGGTCATAGGAGCTTCCAGGGGACATGACTTTCAAGCTCAGCCCTGAATGAGAAGAAAAATCAATGATCCAAAGAGCTGAGAAAATGATTCTTGATTCTAATTATTCACTAAAATCACCTGGAAATCATCACCAGACCAATTCACATGATATACTTTGGGGCAGGATATAAACATATGCATTTTAATACAGGTGACTTTAATGCATGAAAAAGTTTAACAGTGACTAAGCAGCTATGCTATGTCAGATAATATATTGGGTCATAGGAAAAGTCACGATGTATTTTTCTATGTAAGAATGTGTCATGATTTTCCTGATGACCCAATAGTTAAAAAGAAATCTAATATTGCCTAGCATCTGGTAGTGTCCTCAATTTGCTAGGTCTGCCATAACAAATACCACAGACTGGGTGATTTCAACAACAGAAATGTGTTTTCTTGTAATGTCTGGATGTTGGAAGCCCAATATCAAATTGTAAACAGAATAAGTTTCTTCTGATGTCTCTCTCCTTGGCTTACAGATGGTTACCTTCTTGCTATGTCCTGAGGGTCACACCTTGGTTGGTGTCGTTTATGTCCTAATAGCCTTTCTATAAGGGCAGCAGTTAGATTAGAGCCCACCCATGTGACTTCATTTTATCTTAACAATCTATTGAAAGGTTCTGTCTTCAAATGTAGTCACATTATGAGGTACTGCGGTTAGGTCATCAGCTTAGAAATTTTGGAGGGAAACAATCTGAGTTATAACATACCTAATAGAAGCGGGTTTCTTTCAAGACTCTAAGCTTTCTATTGACTTTCTGATCTTCCCCTATAGACACTCTCTACATTATACACCATTCTGTGAGGTTTGGAAACATTCTTTGTTACCACAGAATTATTGATTTCTACAGTAGAAGTTTGAGCTAAAAAGCTTCCATATAAGGGTCCTGTTTAAATCCCTTATGTCCCAGGTGTAAATTCAATTATTATTCAGCCTTTCACAGGTAAATGGTCCAGAAGTAGGTCAATGTTCCAAGTATTGTACCTGTCACCCTTTTTTCCTCCTGCCTTATATTCACAGATGCAGAGAGGTGAGCAAAGTAATTCCTGTTATGTGACCTGGGAAAATTAGACCACTCAGACTGCTATCTGTAAAAAGGAAATAATAAAAGGATGATCATTATAAATACATGTCATAACAAAAGGCTTCTCACAAAATCTGGTGTGTAGTATGTGCTTGATATTGATAAATGGTGGTTATTATAATCAACTTGATAATCAATGTTGTGCCTTGTGATGAGTGTCAAGGCCACTCTAGGAGGGTGGAAGAAGCTTCTGACTTCTTAGGGTCTCCAAGTTGGGTGCCCTAGTGCTGCATGGGAGCCAGCTCTGATGGGAGCAAGGCTACAATCAGGAGAGAATGAACAGATTAGAGACATGACATCAGGTGGCCTCATAGCCACCATCTTTGGGCACCAACTACTGTTGGACCGTTGTCAGGACCTAGTTCCAGGTGGATAACTAAGAGGCATTGTCACATGAAATTTACACAAGAACATGTGGAGTTTTCCCTTCCCTGATATATCTTAGTTGACATTCTCTCTCTCCGAGAGGTGGGGAGAAATCTCAGTAGCTCAGTGGAGCTGTGGCATCCGGACTCGGCCATATCAGCAGGGTTTCCCTTCTCTCTGATACTCTAAAGTCTTGATCATCACATCAGCAGGGAATGGCTTCACGAGAGAGGATAGCCTACTCTCATAAGCTTTTCTAATAAGGTTGTCAGAGGGAAACTTCTGCCAGCAATGAACTCATAAATGGTAGATAGGGTTTTCTGGGAGCCCAGATGAAGAATAAAGAGACTTAGGATTTTTCAGAACTCCAAAGTGGAGAAAAGAATGAAACTTAACATCAAATGCAAGAAAGAAAGCAGCTTGTGCGTCGGCCCTGTCTCCCTAATTCTCTTCCTACCATTGTCATTGATGTATTTTCCCTCTCCATTGGTCAGTTTATCTAGTTCCTGAGCCAGTTCTGACAAAGACAAAAAGCTCAGTGATAGTCTCAATTCTACAAGGAGGTTGGTCTGGAATAATGGTTGCTGCTAGAGAACTGGTATTAAGTCTAATGGGTATTGATGCTGAATGTAAGTATTCTCTTAACCTTCTTCCATTCTCAGTTCCAACTGGCTTTAGAGCACAGATAGAAAATTACCCCAAGACTCTTTCTTCCAGGATGCTTCTAAGTTCCTTTTTCCCAAAAAGTGTCTGTATAATATGCCTGACACTCTCAGAATCAATTAGTCTGCTTTGGGCTGAAAGTAAAAGAAAACTCAACAATGCAGTTTGAATTATCAAGACATTTATTCTCTTCTTAAAGTAAAATCCACTGTTCGGTAGTGTCAAGGATAATTTCATAGCTCAGACATACAAACAAAGACAGGAACTAGTAATCTTTCAGTCTATCACCCTTGGCATATTGAATTGTTAATAATTTTATGGTTAATTGGACCAGCAGATGGCAGAATGGTTATGTTGCTGGACTCCCATGTAGTTGACCGCAGTTCAAGTCCTAGACCCAGTGGCTTAAACTCATGCCAGGCACGTGTGAATGTATGCCCAAGATCCCAAGAGGAGAATGGAGAAGAAAGGATTGCAGCATGGCCATCCCCTCGGGTGGTGACTTCTCACTGTTTCTCTGTCTCTCTCTGTCTTTCTGGTAAGTGTATGCACCCTATAGCAAAAACCTTTAAAAAAAAAAATGTATGATTGTAAAATAGCTGCCACTGCTCAAGTCACTGCCTCTTCACAAGACAGCACTAAAGCAAGAAACAAAGAGATGTGTGGCAAGAATAGACCTCTCTACCTACAAGCCCCTTTTCAACTTGAAGTATAATTTTCAGTGGTACATAACATACATGCAAACAACATGCAAATCTAGCGTACACTGGATGACTTTCCACAAAGTAAACACAGGCATGCAATAAAGCACAAAAGTCATAATATTGAACACCACCAGAAGCACCCTTGGCCACCTTCCAATCCCAGCTTCCCAAAGGAAATGACTAACTGCGTCTCATACCATAGATGAAGGTTCTTTTTTGTTGATTACTTTATGTATGTGGAATTACACAGCATGTCCCCTTAGGCTACTGACTTCTTTGACTTTGTGAGATTTATCTGCATAGT